ATTTTTTTTTAATTCTTAAATTTTTAAAATGTTTTTGTGAACCTGGCAAAACAACGACCCTTTGAAAATACAAAATATGGCACCAGTGCCCAAGAGAGGTAAGCATCCTCTTTTGACCAGTTGACAGATTGATGTAGAAACAATTACATTGTTTGGAAAAGTGTCAGTCAAAATTCGACTCAAAGACATTGTTTATTTGCAAACAAGGTCGTTATAATAACCATAGAACTGGCGAAATGATCACTATAATGAGAAAAAAGCTTCGTAGCATTAACTTATTTGTTAGTAGCCTACCAAAGCAAACAAGCAAACAAAACCAAAATAATAATAAAATAATCTAGAAACATACTCAGTATGTAGACCTTGCACTTTGTGTGTTGAATTTCATAATCCTTTCAACATTTTGGCTTGAATGTGATATACAAAGAATAAGCACTTATGCCAGAATAAAACCTATAGAATAGCATTAGTGGAACAAGTATATTTCGGATATACAGCCAACTTTCGCGTCCAACTAGCCCAGGCTCTAATTCTTTATGAAATTTTTGCTGGTTATAAGAATTTAGACACCAGTGAATAAGATTGGTCGACATCAAAATAATTCCTCCAGAGGAAATAAGATTTTAAGATTTTCCTTTCGTAGGATAGCGCCTGACTTTGATTAAAAAATGTGTTTGCAGAAAAGTCTCCATTAGGAAAAATACACGACTACAGAGAAACATTTTTAACGGAGTGGAGGGATTCGAGAAAGCGGTCACTAATCCAAACATGTAGTAAGTCACCATACCAGTGGAAGTCAGAATTAGGATATACATGTATTCATTGATGGTCAACTTTGCTTGTCTAGAAGAGTTGCTGTAGTGTTTGTTCAGATGATAACTACGGATATATATGTTAGAATACTGCTGAACGTGCTCACACACTCGCCAATTTGAAGGAGAAGAATGACACCATCATTATTCCATTCGTACGCAAATACAAGCAATACAGTCGAAATTTTTAGTGGTATATTGATGAAAACTCCACACATATTGCTACACAAATATTTCCTCCAATAAGACGACGTTTTTCTTCTTGAAGATTCGATCTACAATTAAGAGTCTCCTTTAAAGTTTGATTTCTCTGACTATTAGAGCCAGTGATTGCATTGTCAAATGGCAAACCCAAAAATGAAGTAATGAAACTTGAGCCAAGAATACAAAATTCCATTCGCATTGGTTATAAGATAGGTGATAATTGCTCTGCTAATCCCTGTTGTATTTTGGATGTTCGAAAACAATAGGACTCATTGCTATATCTAGGGAAGGTTTTGTTTCCAAGTTGAAATACATAAATATTACTAATTACAATATTAAACCATATTACGAAATTTGCCACAAGAATAAAAATACTTGAAAAGCTCACTAGGGAGTTTCTTACAAACGTTTTGTTTCGGTAATACGATATAAAACTCAACTCAATTAGAAGGAAAAGTAATAGAATTGCATTACTCATCATTGAAAAAATCATTTCAGCTGTTCGTAAGGAAAACAAAACGATGCATTCCATATAAATAGCAGCATAAATGGAAACATGTACCATAACGGCTAGTCCAAAGATCCAGAGAAAAATTAATCTGAGTTTCAGGGATGGATCAGCTTGTTTGTTTTGGAGGTTCCCTTCGGTGGTAAGTCTTTTTCTGCAACCAGACACAATGAGAATAATCAGAGAGATCAATGCAAGAGTCACAGCTATCATCATTGCAACCCAAGCCCTTGTTTTAGCTTTATCTGAATAAGCCTGTTCAACTGCATTTATTCCAATGATGACAAAAGCACCGGAAATAAGATATGCAAACAATAAGACACTAATAATCTGCCCACCAATATGGAATCCTGGTCGCTGTGAGAGTGGACAAAACGGCTGAATGAAAATTCTACAGAGCTTTTTATAGAGCAATGAAACTGCCATATTTTTACCAATTGATACTAAATGAATACACGTCGACTGAAAGAATTTCAGGAAGTGTTTTTGTAGCATGAATTAGACAAGAGCATTTTTAAGTGGTCAACAGCCGGTAATTGTGACAGAAACGGAAAAGTTTACGTAATTAGACGGCACTCAGACAGTTTAATTTTCCCTTTCAACTTTCAAATAATACTGATATAAGTCCTTAAAATTCTTAAAAATCTAAAATGAAATAAAATAATTTTTCTAAGAATCCAACATTGTTGAAATGAGAAACTAGTAAGTGCTGTAACTACTAAAAGTGTGTTTATCTTTGAAAGGTTAAATCGGCGATTTTTTAAACCAGTTATCTCGGTTTATAGCAAAGTCATGTACTTTTACTGGGAGTAATTATCATCTTTGTTTGATTGCTTTGTAAGCAATATTGTTAACAACCTATGTGAAGTTGTGGGTCTACTTAAAGCTCGATAAATATCATTTCAATGTTTCAAACAAATTTGAGTAATAATAACTATAACACGTTATAAAACTGTATATTCTCAGTTAATAAAGTCATAGATTTCTATATCAATTCTATTTAAAGCAGATGGTTTAGATTGTGCGATTACATTTGTTCTCTTATCTTTTAAGTTTTACATCCGTTTTCAAAAAATAATTTTGAGATCGTATATGATTTTTTAACTTGTCCTCGTAGATGAAGTATGTGGATATAACGAACAGAATTCGAGCTCAAAAGTCCATTAAACATTACTAAATAGAAGCAGAGTAAAAATAGGAGCAAAATAGATACAACGTTATTTGAAGAAGTTCTTTTCTTTATCATAAAAGTAGTGATGCATGCTTAAGCACTATTGCGCCGTTAAGTCTAACGAAAGAGTGTAAATAGACCTACTTTCTGAGTTGTTGCTGATTACCATACTAACAATTTTTGTTGATCCTGTTCATCCTATTTCTCTAGACAACAAATTTTCCTCTATCAGTTTATATTCTTTTATTATATAACTATTATATAACCAGGTGAGCCTTAAGAATCTTGAGTCCCTTGTTTATACACAAAGGGTTACTTGCCAAGCAGAAAATTTCAGAAAATATTCTCTATTTGTTTAAGGTAGTAAAGTGCTAAGATATTTATGTATTTTAAGATACGATACAAATAGTATAGTGGAACAGACTTTGAAATTTATCCTGCAGTTCTCCTTTGTTTCACATTTCTCATTTGTTAGTACCTACAGTGACATATGTTTTATCGCTCCTAAATTTAAAGACGACCTCTGCATTTAATGGATTATAAAGATTCAATAAAAAGAGGTAAAACTCATATCCGCGTCTAAGAGATGAACCTCTAATTATAACTGACCTTCTTTCCCTAATAAATTTTCATCAATAAAGAATCATCTAAATATTGCCCCGTTATAGTGTATATACTTGACCTAAATTTTGTTTTCATTTTTATCTTCTGTTAGAAAAGGTTGATGAATAATGAACATTTCATTTTGTAGCACATGGATTTTTTCCTATGAGTTCATTAAATTATTTTCACGTTGTGTTTCTGGTTTCAATGAGAGAAAGAAAGGCTATAATTTTACTATTTGTCTAAAGTACGGTATACAAAGAGGCAATTTAAAGATACCCCGAATTATAGACATCCAATGCATCATATATTTTGAATTGTCTATGTATGAAATGCTTATGCATGTAATTACCCGATGTCATTCTTATATAAATAGTGCACGTTTTTGAGGGTAACAGTTGAAATTGACACCCCAAGGAAAACCATTGTCAACCGACGCGTGAGCGGAGGTTGACAATGGTTTTCCGAGGGGTGTCAATTTCAACTGTTACCCTCAAAAACGTGCACTATTTATTTTATTATACTGAATGTCTTATTGATTTCGGGTGTCACGCTTAAAAAGCTTTCAAACTCCCCGCTTCTATTTTTCTCAATAAGAAAGCTTCGGAAAAGATTTACCAACCTCTTTATTGTTTGTTTGCTACTTAAAAAGTCCTTTATCATCTAAAGTTTGCACTCGCAAGGATGCTTCGTCTGTCGTTTGTTGTTTTCAAGTAAGCTATATCGGACGCAAGCTTTTATTGACGTCGTTTATTCGGCTTCTTTCAAACGCACAACCGACGTTTTGCGAATTCTACGGTGAACCGTACGCGCATGATTTGAAAGCATGTGATATTTTCGTAATGTTACCCGTTGTCAAGTGTGTTGCTAACGTTGAGGGTAACATTACGGATTGTTAAATGCGTCTAAACCAATCAGATTTTAGTATTTAACATGAAAGTATAATAAAATAAAATATCCTGTTCTTCTAGAAGTATTTCCAACTCTTTATACAATGTGTGGAAACAAGGATACAGTCACGGCGGTTGTGACCGGTCATCTGGGGATGCGTACTCCTCCTAGGCACCTGATCCCACCTCTGGAATTTCCGGGGGTCCGTGTTTTTTGCACTGTTCACAGATGTTTATTGAGATCGATCACTGTTCGTTATCTTCACCTTTATCATTTAGAACGAGTTCTTAAAGAGTTAAATGGGAGTTTTCTGTTTATTTATTTGTATTGTTTGCGATAGTTCGAAACATCAAATGAAACAGTTCTTACCAATAGTTTTGCACAGAATGTATTTTAACGAAAGTCTCCATATCCTCCATCATTATGAATTTATAAAGAACATAGAATACTAAAAAATATATTATAGGAATTTTTAAAACAGTTCTAATAAACAAAGAAACTCAAAACTGAAAACAAAACGGCAAGGAAAATGTGGGTATTCCCCTTTAATAAAAAAAATCTTTCTCGGTGACAATTAAAACAATGTTACATAATATGTTTATTATAATCCCCACTTATACCTCTTGACACTTTTTCTTTTCATTTCTTAAGCTGAACGTGTAGTCTTAGATAATTAAACATGAGTGCTTTTACTCCTCATAATGGGGTCAATCATTTTGCCATTCAATATGTAAATTAATCTCTTATATAAGTATGAAGAACTTGAAAACTTAGTCTATTGCGCGATGGCATTAACAGACGTGAAGTGGCTATTAGCTGGGATTTTGATTTCTGTAAATGGAATTGATTGCCTTCCTTCTATTACGGGGAATGATTTATCAGACAATTCCCAGTTCCTACAGGGTAACACGTCTGAAAAAGTTTCAAGTGTTCTTAGGGATGTTCTGAATCAGGAAAGCTTGGTGCGCCTCTCCATGATACAGAAAATTCAGATATTAATGATGGATGTCATAGGCAACAGAAATATTTCTGAAAGTTTGATGAAAAGGCTGGACGATATGACTGAAAAATTTCATGTCTTGGAGAAAAGACAGAGGAAAAGTGAAGAGGAGAATTCAAGACTTAATGAGGAATTAAAAATCTTACGTTCCACAATAGGTGTCACTAAAAATCTTACAGGTTACAATGCGCTTCACTTAAATGAGACAGATATACCATTTCTTAAGAAGCAAATTTCTTCTCTACATAAGGAAAATCACCAATTAACTCAAGAAAATACAGAAATAAAAGCAGAACTGGAGGTTTTTATCAGGAAATACGTAACTGAACAAATCAAAGAAGTAGATTTAGAAAGTTTGAAAAATCAAACTTTGTTTCTTAAACAGATATATGAAGGTCTGTCACACGAAAACGAAAGAATGCAGAAAACATTACTTCAAATGAACAAAACAATAAACGAAGATAGAAACGCAAACGACTTATACGCACGGATACTGACAGCAGAGGGAAACCTGATGACTTTTTCTGCTTTTGTCAATCGAACAATGGAACGTATTCTTCAGGATCAAAATAACGCTACTCAAAAACTTATGAGTATTTCTGCACAATTGTCAGGTATTTACGAGGGCTGTTTGAAAATTATTGAGACAATTACTTTTACTCCACAAAGGACAGAGATAAATTCATGAAAAATCGTCAACATTTTATAAAGAACGAATAAAATAAATGTGCAAAATTTCTAATTTATAGGACAATTAGACAAGTCCCGCTGAATTTATAAACAAGCATATGTCTATTGACCTGGAGCAGCATCGCTACGTCATTTTAACGTCACGTCAGCCGATATTTTCTCATTGTGAAATGATCGGGAAGCGCTCAATCTACTTTCTCTGTCATTACATATAACATTCCCAAATTCAAACTGTCTCTTATAATTCTTAAACGATTCTACAAAAATAAAATAAAATAAAATAAAATGTGTGCCGTTGCTACCCCAATGTAAAATATACACGAAGTGTCATATACAGGTTGACTTAGTGTCATGCATTACCGAGTTATGCAACGCGGGTCAACGGTATTTAGACCGTAAATAATTGATGGTCGTCCGGAGCTTTTGTTTTTACTCTGGTTGAATTATTTGTAAGAAAAAATATACCAATGAAAAAATAAACCCTTAGACATGTTTTATTGCATTGTTATTGTTTTAGTAGGTCGGTTAGTCTGGACAAGAGTTCTCAATACCGCTACACAAAATTTGGGGTATTCTCGCTGCTCCGCTTTGACGTCAAAATCCGTTTTGTCGTCGTTACCAGATCGCTATACCGCGCTTAAATTTTTTAATGATCTCCGTATTTTTGATCGAATTTCTAACAAACTAGCACAAAATGAAGTCAAAATTAAATTTAAAAATTATATACAAATTTTTTATTTTTTTCGCTCTTACTATGGGTCCACTGGGAGTTTTTACGTTGGTGTTACATATTTTCAATATCTGATTTCGTGACTGCACCGGGTACCCCTACCACTGACACATGAATATACCATTGAAAAAAAAAAGAAATAAAATATTTTTGAAATATTTCTTACTTTTTTGAATTCTTAGAGTTTGTCAAACGTATATGCAAATTTTCACCGTAAAACGTTCATTAGAAAGAAGAATATACACAATGTCTCAATAATTACCGAACAGCCCTCGTACACTTTCTTTATTACACAGGGTCAACATTTGCTATGAAAAATTTGATAACTTTAGTAATAAATGTATTGAATTTTTATTTACCTCAAAAAATCAGATTAATTTCATAATAGGAACATATTACAATTGTAATTTAAAGCTGTAGAATAACGTAATAATGTCCAAGAATAAGGCAGATGTTTTATTTGCAGTTTATTTACATAATTATTTACACAATATTACAGACAACACTTATGTTGTATAACATCAAATACTCAGTTGACTCAATACATCAGTCCATCTCCTTAAACATCGTTAAAGTGCAGAACTGACATCCGTCTGCGTTAAATTCTAACGCAAAACTCACTCCTCACTTCAAGGTTCCCAGCCAAAATCATAAAGCACCGATAGTGACCAACCTTAAACAATGAACCCCCATATTCCCATGAGAACATCAGCGACCAGGCAGATATGGATGCTGACAGACATATCCCGTTACCCATAGAATATCAGTACAGCGCAATAAATGCTCAGCATGCATGATTTAAAGATAACACAAATAAATCGAATTAGTGAAACTCTAAATTATGACAGATATATTCCTGATTGACGTTATCGTTTTTTCTACAACTGTAACATTGTGAAGGCCAAATTTAGATTAAGATATAAATAAAGTGAAAGAATCGCTCATGATTTTTTAGTCTTATTCAAAGCCTAGTATTGGTAAAGAATGTACCTAATTTCGCTAATTCTATTGTCAATACAATGCCCTTTTCAGGAAATACAATATGTCGTTACATCCAGTGTTGATTGATGTTTGTCATACCATTTATTAGGCCATTATATTCACACTTAATTGTCTATGGATATTTTCCATTTCAACGATCACGACAAGAAGCACACGGTGTGTGTGACCGGTCGACAAGGGATGCTTACTCCTCCATGGCACCTGATCCCACCTCTGATGTTTTTAGAGGTCCTTGGTTGATCTGCTCCCAATTTTATTGTATCAATGGACTTTTGAGCTTGATTACTGTTCATTATCTTCATATTTATATCTTGTTTTTTTTTATACTTCATCTCCGAAAAAGACGTGAACAATTCTTAGTAAAATTTATGTTATATCTTTTTTATCCCCTTACATATATCGGTATGAATTTCTGTTCCTGTATATCCAGGGAAAACCTTTCTTTTTCTAATTTTCGTCTCCCTCAGAAGCAAAATGCCAATGTCAATAAAAGTATATACAGCAATATACGGATCAAGCGTGTTGAAGACCGTTAGAATGAACCTTGCTTTCTTCAAAGAGGCGATTGTTGATAGATAGTAAAAATAGGGTGTGTTTATACAAAAAAAAAAAAAAAAAAAAAAAAAAAATCGGGGATTTTCTGAGCCAACGTGATTTTTACTTTATTCTTGTGAAGGCAAATGTATTTTAAAACATCCAACTTAGAGAAATAAATTTTTTGCTTCCACATTGATGTTTAGATTCATTTAGGACGTTTTCTCAGTAAACTAGAGTTGTCATTTTCATCCATATGTCGATTCGATGTATCCCAGTAGACTTGAAAGAAAAGACATCATGATCTTACACATTTATTTCCTAGGGCGTTTGATGTTTTCTTATATCATTAACTCATCACAAGAATGCTTCACTGATCAAAGTTTTATACAAGATGACATTTGGAACTATCGTCGTTCAAAGTTTTAAATTTTACATAGGGATAAAGAAAATTATAAATTAACTTACGCTTTACACAACGTCATGCATAACCTAAAAATACGAAAAGATCGTATGTAGTGTCAATTAAAATTTCTTAATTCATGGCTACAGATGCAAGTTGGAAACAACAAGAAAACGAAAATTTCACATAACTGTTTAAAAATCATCACCCATGCAAGGAAATCTCTCTAGTATTAATGTATGCACTAGATATTGCGCTTGCAGCTTTCCACTTCACAGTCTAAAACTAAAGTAAACCTATAACATAGGGGGCGATAACCTTAAAAATTATATGAAACAGCAAGATAAAAACAATATATAACAATCTATTTACTCTATATTAAGTTGCCGTGGTCATTGTTCTCATATTCAGGGTTAAAAAAATGACCTGGACTGGGATTTCGACCTTTCGACTTTGCGCTGCATTTCCATCATAAGTTAACACTGCGTTGTTTCTAAATGTTCTATTTAAAACAGTTCTATAATTTTATGTAGTTTTCATAACAGCATTCTTGTTCACAAAAATTATAAGCAACTTACTTCGGTAGCTATAACATACCTTTTTTGCTTTAAAATACCATCTTTAATTTGTTTTTAATAAAATCATTATATATTCCCCACATCTCTTTCAGAAAGATTGTTGTCTCCTCCAACAATTAACTCCATAGCTTTCTACTCCTACATGTCTCAGAAAACACCGACAATATCTGTTCAATATTCTTTGAGGTTTGATGTGGTGAAAACAAACGTTGGAAACGGTTACCATTCCGCTACGGGAGTATTTATTGTTCCAGAAACTGGGATTTATGTATTCACTTGGACAATACGAGTTCTTGGTGATAATTATCACTCAACGCAGTTGATGGTAAATACAGATGTACTGGGGGTAATTCACGTTAATGCAGGTGGTGGAGGAAATCTTGGAGGAACAGGGACTGTTGTGGCACACGTCAATGCAGGAGATGATATCTTTGTGCGCACACATGCGTCATTTAATAAAGGTGTTATTTATAGCGACGGTGGAGGAAGATCGTCCTTCGCAGGATGGAAACTATTCTAAATAGATATAATGATTGATATGAGATAATTTTAAAATAAGATAGTAACTTATTTCGAAGGAAAAGGTAAGATAATCCCTGTGTATCACAACAATAGGTGTCATAAAGTGACAATCTTTCTAATATGTAACTATAAAAACACAAATGGAAACATTTATCAGCATAAACTTTTTGTACAATGTATTGTTTATAAGTGAAATATACAAATAAAGTAACATGATTTAATATGACTTTTTCTGGCGCTGCTAACATTTACGTTTTAAATACATTGACTAAATCATAAGATGAACTTATAAGAAACCCCCTTTTTCTAAAGTGTAAAAATATAAAATTCACAGATCTTGATTGTAGCTTTAAGCCTGAGGGTGTGCACTTACTAGAGTATTACTTTGTTTAATTTCTCTAGAATGAAATTAAGAGTATTCAAAACGATATTGCAAAAGCTAGACTTCGAAATGCCCCGTTAATATGACCGTGGTTTGAGATGGAAATTATAAGTATGTAAACAGTCTGGCGCAAGTGATTAATAAAGATTAAATTTAAATATTTTGTGAAAATTCATAAGAGTATAATGTTCTCCACAGGAATCTTGCTTCGGATGGATGTGTAATCGCTTCGCTTTGATATAAATTACGATAGAGTGTGACATAAACCTTCAATGTGAAAGGTAAATTGAAATTTTCATAAAATTTATCGTACACTGATAATACTATGGCTCGTCCAAAGCAATTTTCCAGGTTACATTAGGATGCAATAGTTTTATTTACGCAATAAAATGTTAATAAAGTGCAGCCCGGGGGACCGGGCTGCACTATACATATGTTTAAGTTTTGTTATATGGAATTGAGGTGGGATAAGTTATTCAGGACGAAGGGTAACTATTCATTAAAGAGTGTACATCAGAATGTTCTTTCCCTTTTATAAATTACGAGATACACATTATATTTACTTCCATGAAGTACATCTTTAAAAATATATATGTTTTCATATGTAATATGTACAAAGTTGCTTACCATTTACTATTGAAAAAACGACGGGTCCCTTTTTTAGAACATTAAATTTTACTTATCGCATAAAACGTGCGTTACACTATATTTTTGATGATAGTTGATACATGTGTCTGATTCTAATTTATAATTCATGCAGCCAACAGTTGCTTGAGGATATGATAACGTTTAAAAGGTATCGTTTTTGTTCGGATTCATCCGATTAGAAGCTTTCCGTAAATCTTCTGGACTTAAGTCTCGATCATTCTGACGCATGCCTTTATCACACAAATCGAAGCGGTTTGATGATCAAGATTTTACTTCATTTATTTCCCGAGAGAGAATTGATGGCAACATCAATGTGTTCTTGTTTGTATTTGAAAGGTCCCTTTGTGCAAATTGTTTGTATTACATTTATAGTCAACATACTGAATTCAAAACTGAGCTGGAAAAGTAATCAATACGTTTTGAATGCAAATTGATGTCTCGGACAGCCTCAACTAGCTGTCAAGATTTAAAAAAAAAATGCTTTACCATGAAAGTTGTATTATTCAACATTGTTATGATGTTATTTTTAAATATTAAATTGAAAATTACATTTTTGGATTTTTTTTACATAGAAGCCATACAAATTCAGTATCAAGAGTGTATATGACTAAATATGAGACAATAAATATTTTAAATCAAATCTATAAAGTCATCGATTCTATATCAGTGCTACTTAAATACTGATGGCTTATATTATGCACGCACATTTGTTCCCTAAATTTTTAAAGGTTTACATCCGCTTTCTAAAAAAATTATTTTGTGATTTTATATCATTCTCTTAAATTGTCTGTGTAGAAACAGGGTTATTCCGCGGAAGTTCAAGATTAACTTTATCATACAATATATTATCATATAAATAGAATTATGAAATTTTTTTTTAAAAAAAGTCATATTGATTCAGTGGAATTTATTTCATGGTAACCCTAATTGATAGATTTAGGTATATTAATATATTTGTCGTTTATTGATCATGCTAAAAATTCCAGAGAAACCATACAAATTTTGAGCCGAGCAAACTCGGACCTCTGAAAACATCAAAGGTCGGAACAGGTGCCATGGAGGAGTAAGCATCCTCTGTCGATCAGATATACCTGCCGTGCGCCCTAATTTATTATCGGGTAAACAGAAAGCTCCTTTGTCAATGCAGAATAAAAATAATGGCCTCGTGTTAGTATGAAAGACGACAGTCTACATTCGACCTATAACGACAAATTGTATTTGCAAACAAGATCATTATATCCATAGCACTGTTAAGGCTGCATAAGAAGGTGAGGTAATATGGGAAATGTTTACTTTGAAATCACGCAAAAAAATAAGAATTCCTCTGAATACAACAAAATAAAATAATATACGATTTTAAACTGCAAAAAAATATTTAACTACATCAAAACCTACTACTGCTTTTAATTTTGTTCTAGTAAGATACCACATAACAAAGTCAAAACAAATAACTGATTACAAATGAACTTGTCGACAATACGTGAACATGGTATAATTTGATGCATTTTATGTGCATTGAGAAGCGCATCAATTAATTTTTTTTCACAGAGAACTATGCATTTTATAGAATATTATCTACAAATGTTTTCGACCATTTATACCAATGAGTAACATTTGTTTTTTGCCATTATCTTATTATTGTGGGAAATGTGTATTGAATTTTTCTTATCATGGTTTATGTACAGGAATGGCATATTTAACATCTAGGTGCATTGTTAAAGACTTAGATAGATAATGACCATTTTTAATGAAATAAAGAAAATGCTATTTAACTTTAAAAGATGGTGCTGTTTTATTGATACCGAGAACATTACTTAATAAACACATTAATATTTGCTAATAATCACACATATCTCAACTGGAGGACCATTACACGAAATCTAATTACATGCAAATTCTATGTAAAGCAAAAGCACTTTTTAAAAACTATCAGATCTCAGAAATCATATTATCAATTTAAATTTTAATATTATTTAGATATGCCCCAGCGTCGGATATCCACGGCTGATCTCGTCTTTTACTCATCATCCGTTGGCAAACTCGCCGAAATATCGTCTTAAAATATGCTAATTTGTTGATTATAGACAACCAGTCAGAAAATTGGAACTCTTCAAAATTTATCGCTTCCAAAGGCTTTTGTGTGACGTCATATTGTTTTTCCGGTACTCCAAGCAGGAGGATAAAACGTACGCTCAACTAGGACCTCGGCTTACCCGCAAATAGTTCGTCATTTTGCGTAGTAATAAAATATTACATGAACTTTTCAGGCATTAAAGGCACAAATGTAAATTCATCTATATCAATACGGTGAGTGCAGGTCACCTTATATTTTAATTTTATTTTATTTAACATAGTTTAAAAATCTTACTCATATACAATCATATTAATAACTTTACATCTATATACCTTCTAATAGATTAGCACAAATGGAAAGTAATGTTTATAACGTTTAATCACAAGTCGACAAGTTGTGAATTGGTTAGGCCCATAAGAATCTGTGTCGAATGCCCCCAATCCCCCCTCACCCCCTCCCCGAAAAAAAAACTTTTGCCAGTATATTCTTTACTATAGAAAACAAAGAAACTGGACCTTGCTAAACTAAAAGACTTTTCAAAAAAAGGCAACAAGTATGAAAATAAGCATCTGAACATTTAATCATGTGAAGAAAAAAAATACTTATTTCATTCTCTGATGTCTTCTTACCTTACATAAACAAAGATTACAACTTTCATTCTTTTATATCATAAACAAATAATGAAATATGAAGATAACAAATAGTAATCAATTTCAAAGTCCTTTGAAACAATACAAATCAGGAGTAGAGAAAACACGGACCTCCTTAAATCAGCAAAGGCGGGACTAGAAGACAAGGAGGAGCAAACACCCTCGCCGTCCGGTCATACCCACCTTGTGCTCCTTGTCATGATCGAGTAAATGGAAAAATTCGTTGACAATTCATCGTTTAAATAATGGCCTAACAACCAGCACGAAAAATGTCAGCCAGCATTCGTTTTAATGATAAATTGTATTTGCCGACAAGGTCATTGTATCGACCATAGAACCTGCAAAATGATGATCGTAGACTAGATTCTTGTCATCCCCGTTTCAACAACCTGCCTGTCAATATTCCGCCTCGTTTCAGAAATTGTTCGCAGCTGGACTTTTTAATATCTTGAATTTATTTTCAAAAAGTTTTTATAACTGATATTCAACTACAAACATATGCTAAACAATGAAAAAGGTTTAGATACCAAACAGGGATGGATCTCAAAAAATGCTATTACATGTAACAAGGGTAAAAAGCACAGATCCCTAAATTCCAGAGATGGGATCAGGTGTCTAGGAATAAGCTTCCTCTTGTATACGGGATGATATACTAGTAATAATGTGTCATATGAAAACGAAGACCAGAGGTCATCTAGTATGGTATATCAATGAAGAGACAAAAGTTCCAAAACAGTAACCAGAGGACACCAATGTGGAGAACAGATAAGGTGACCTTTGGTTTCTCGAATGAATTACAATGTAAAGTGACCTCTGGTCTCCCTAATAATGTACAATATAAGGTGACCCCTGGTCTCCCTAATGATGAACAAAATAAGGTGCCCTCTGATCTCCATAATAATGTACAATATGAAGTCCGTAATTTATTCAATCCATATGCAGTGTGGAATAAAATTCTTGCTTACAGAATGTTAAACTCAATTCGTATTGTAAAATATTTGAAGAAATACATGTCCTTTTAGATATCATTTCATTTGTACTTAAAAATTCACGCTGTGGATTTGGTAATGGATCTTTAAACGTAAAGAATCAAGACTTCAAATAGACACGTTACGGAGCACTATTTGTGCGGCGATATTTCTTAAATAAGTCAAGAAGTCTGATTAGAAAAATGCTTTAGATATTTAGGACATATATAAACAATATGAAAGAAAAACGATTGATGGTATTTTTTTTTTACCTTAAGGTCCTGCTCCTCCTTAAAAAGGTATTTATTTTTGCACGATATATTCCGCTAATTTTTCATTGAACTCCATATGTAGGTTGTATTGGTAAATTGTCACACAAATAAGGGAAGTTTACGATAGAAATGTTGAATCCTACAAGTAAAACATTAAGTTAATTTTTTTTTGTTTACCATTAGTGTATTTTTAGTTAAATAATAAAATGCCGTGGCTTTCAATTCTACATATAGATATATCAACGACGATTTATCAATTTAAAATATTTAGTTTCATTCCTACGTTGAATCGATATATTACATTAACCTCAAAAACATAGTCTGACACATCTGTTTCTTCGCTATTACCTGCATATGGGTACTATATATGCTCTTTGTGCTATATATAGAATATGGAGAATACGAAAGGTAATATAGCCCAAACGTCCATTGAAGCAATCAAATCGGGTGCAGAGCAAACAAGGACTTCTAAAAATATCAGAGGTGGGATCTGTTGTCTTGGACAAGTATGCATCCCCTGTCGACCGGTCACACTCGCCGTGTGCTTCTTGTCATGATCGAGCAAACGGGAAAAATCCTAAGAAAATTCAGTGTATTAGTAATGGCTTAACTATTAGTATGAAAAACGTCAGTCATCATTAACATAATGATATATTACTTTTGCTGACAAGGTCATTGTATCAACCATAGAACTTTCAAAACGTTGACTTCAAACGAGATTGTTGATATCCTTGTTTCATCAACTTGTTTGTCAATATTCGACTCAATGACACATTTTATGTAAAAAATGGATCATTGTATCGACCATTGAATTTGCGAAATTTTGACTTTAAACGAGATACCGAGATACTCGTATCTGTGAGGAATTTAACTTTTCTATCGTCAATTTTTCTTATTTATGTAGTTATACATTTTTATCACCTGCATATGGGGTGCATGTCGTACAGTTGATTCAATACAAAAGTACAAAAGAGCATGTCGTAAGTATCAACAATTTCTAAAATGAGGCAGGATAATGACAAATAAGTTGACGATTCAAGGATATCTTGTTTTAAGTCCACATTTTGCAAATTCAATAATCGATACAAAGATCTTGTTTGTAAATACAGTACATCCTTGAGTCCAATGTTGTCTGACGTCTTTTATATAAATTGTTAGGCCATTATTTTCACACCGAATTGTCAAAGGATTTTTTTCGTTTAACGTCATCACAAAGAGTACGATACGGGATTGGCTGTTCGGCAGGAGATGCTTACGCCTCCATGGTACTTGATCCAACCTCTGTTTTCAGAGGTATTTCTCCGAATTTGTATTGTTTAAATGAACTTTTGAGAATGAGCACTGTTTTTATCTTCATATTTTATTCCTTTTTCATGTAAAATATTTTAAATAAATAATGCTTTATGGGAATACAGATACAAGTCTTCTATAGCTGATAATTGGGCACAATTAGTACCATGAGAAATCCAACAAATTTTTGGCAGATCTGTCCAAAGATCACATTAATATTGTAAATGAGAAACCCAGGTATCTTTTTAAAATCAACCTTGAAGTAGTGTGTAGAATCAGATTTTTTTTTAACAAAATAGGCTTGTATTTGTCGAATGACAAGGTATTTAAATTTATTAGTTCCATATTTATTGAAAAGCATTTGCTAATCGTTAATAAAGTGTATACTTAGATAAGTTAATGGCAGAAAGTTCTATATATCGTTTGTTTGATAAAAGAAAATCCTAAAAGCATTACTTCCAAGGATTGATCATACAGTGAATTTAGTTTTTGAGTCTAATCATCAGCAAAGTCTTTCGTAGTGCCTCATATCTTTTCCAGTCATACCATATCGGGAATCTACTACCCGTCACGGCTGACTTGGCGTATTCTCCGTTCAGGTTGGATTGGTGACAGCCGTTATACCAACAGGCTCCGTGATTTGATACAGCACACTTACCACCAGACCAGTTGTCATTGTCATCATCTCTAGTTGTAAATTTCATACCATTATGAGGATATATCAAACTGACACCTGTATTAAAATATTGATAATGTTAGAATTTATTCCTTATGGAAACAATGAATTATCTTAACATAATTGTGCCGTCTTGTAAGCCGGAATTTTTTCTTTCGGTACGCTTTGGTTTTTCTTTTTTGTTCACACTTGTTATTTCCGTGCGTGCAGCACGAGATATTTTCTCGTCACTCGTCGCCTTACTCAGTACATGTACAGTCATCCTGTTGTTACAATTTTTTACACTGCCCACAATGTAAGTATTTCATATATTTATCTTCTTAGAGTTACTTATATTATGCTTATAAATTTTCGGCAATGAATTTCTTTATTATTTTCTTCTATCGTATGTGAAATTTGACTGTTAATTTTTACCGGGAATTCAGAGTAGCTAACTTTGTCATATCTATTATCCATGTTTGCTGATATTTGCAAAGTGTTTCTATTCATATAATGCTAATTTACATATTTATCTCAGTAATATGTTCTATATAATGTGAATATAGGTATTTTTCAGATTTTTCATAAATTTCTTAAATTTGAGCATTGTACATCACATTTATTATTATTTTGTCTATTGTAGCTTTTCACCGTACGTATTATGCATCACCACATTATTGAACTATGGAGTTTCAATAAAGATAAAAAACGGTTTACTTAGCTGTAATTTATGGAGGCAGCATAATAATATCCTCCAATGTAGTTGTGATTTATCTGGATTTTAGCGTACAATATCTTAATAACTTTCATTGGTAACAACTTTATACATTTTATAACATATAACACATTCTAGAAAAAAGGCTTGTTTTAAAATTCTCTGGATTATAATTTGTTGCATGTATGTACGGAGGGACGTGTACTTAGAGGTAAAGTTGATTATTTAACGATTTGTGATATCAAAAGCCCTGTTTTTAAAAAAAATATTTGACATTTACACCACATTTAAAGATTATTCATTCATAATACGTTGTGTTTTGAATAAGAAATAATAAAATTCATTCTGATATATAGTTTATTTCTTAACGTTAAAATTATGTGTGAAAACGTATAAAACATGCATGTTATGTGTGAAGTTTGTAAAGCAATAAATAAAAAAAATTACCCGCGGTTCCTGAATACCCCGACACAGCGAGTCTGTATTTACTGCCTTCATTACCGACATTAAATGTGGAATACTGGGCGTATGTTTCAATTCCATAAAGACTTTGTAGTTCAACCCGGAGTTCTTGGTTCTTGTTCTTTGTCATCTTGTAGATTGCGTCATTTCATTTTAATAGAATGCGATAAACGTAGGTAATGATTTTTCATAATGTTTATTATTCATACTTTTTTAATGGACATACATTTTATCAAAACATTTGTTTAGATTATCTCTATGATTAATGCTACTTTTTGACAAATTGTGTTGTTAAACGCTCTTTATTATCAGGATTTTCGGTGATATTAAGCTGGGTTTTTTTTTTAAAGAAAGAGAAGAATTACATGTAATTAGATGGAATTATTCATTCCTAAGTAAAAAAAAATAATGTGACATGAGCACACATTGGATCCTATTCATGTTACTTTTTTCTGCCATTCTGTGGTAAAGGGTAGCTGTTTAACAAAAATAATAAATTTCTTCCTCTCTGGAATTAGCATCGGATAGAACCAGGCAATGTTGCACCAAATAAGTTTTCAAGAGTTCCTGGTTTGGTGAGCTCAGATTGGATGTGATATTGCTTTAGAAATAAATGCTAACTTCATCTTCTTAAAGCTCCATGATTTTATTATCTTTAAACGTAAAGAAAATGTTAATAGGTTGTTGAATTTAAAATTGAATACCTAAAAGCAGATATTGATGACAAGTCTTGTAAAAACAATCTTTTGCCCTAAAAATATAAAAGATTAAAAATGTCCTCTTTCACTCATATTGATCGTTTAACTTCGAGCATTATTACTAAATGAAAATAAAAGAAGGAATAAAATGAAATAAATAAATAATGGTCGGATAGCTTCTTTTGTTCTTCGATTCCATTCATCATGTACTTTTCTGTAGGAATATTGTATTTTACAATAAATAAATAGACGACACTGGAATTCTTCTTCGTCAAAAAAAGAGCACCACTAGAATACACACCTTGGATATTATATAAATGATGTTTAACTAGAGAGTATGGGGGGGGGGGGGGGTAATGTTAAAATCTACGATGAAAATAGAAATCCTACCAATCCAATAGTTTTTAGAGGGATCACCAAATCCTTGTTTATATTCTGCCCACGTCCTGTAAAAGTCTGTTGACCCGTCCTGTTTTCTTTGTATTGCCTTTAACAAATTAATCCATTTTACAGGTTCAAAATTTACTCAGCTAGAGTTAATAAAAACATACTAATGTATCTTTTAAACGAATAATGACAACTACAAATCATGAATTCAACATTTTATTTTGAAAGAAAATTACTTTTTAAGAATTGTTGATTTTGTCCCTTTCTGTAAAATCTCGTTTGTTTTTTTCCCCCCAATTTTTGCCTAGTTGTGCTTACCGTCCAGCCTCCGCCATCAGTACTCATGTCACAGTAAACAGACTTAAATACAGAGGCTACGGATATTCTGTAAACTCCATATCTTCCCTTTAAACTCGGAAATTTCCGTTAAATGTCGAAGCAACCATGGTCATCCTTTGAAAGCGCTGTTTGAGAGCATTGAATTAAATATACAATATTTAATCAGAAAAACAAGTGTGTCGTTAGTTGATGCAATGTAAATTTTTAATTTTTGAACAATTTGACTTCTACATAATATCAACACAGTGTTTAGTTTCTGACTAAAGCTGAAGCTCTTTCCTGATCATGCACGTTAACAAAACGTCTTAGTTGAATATAATGAAATATATGGAGATAACGAACAGTATTCAAGCTAAAAAGTCCATTAATCAATACAAAATAGGAGCAGAGCAAACACGGACCTCCAAAACATCAGAGGTGGGATCAGGGGCCATGGAGGAGTGAGCATCCCCTGCCGACCCGTCACACCCGCCCTGTGCTCCTTATCATGATCGGGAAATAACGGAAAAATCCATCGACAATTCAGTGTGTAAATAATGGCCTAACAATTAGTATGAAAAACGTCAGTCAGCATTTGACTCAATGATAAATTGTATTTGCTGACAAGGTCATTGTATCGACCATAGAACTTACGAAATGATGACTTTAAACGAGACTGCTGATATTCTTGTTTCATCAACCATTTTTGTCAATAATTTACCTCGTTTTAGAAATTGTACATACGTAGAGCATGCTCTTGCGTTTCGAATCAACTGAGAGATATAAACCCCGTATGCAGGTGATGAAGGTATATTGCTGCATAAGTAAGGGAAGTTGACGATTGAAAAGTTAAAGTCATCACGTTTATCATAAAACTTGGTTGTTAGATTACCATTAATGTCTTTTTCAAGTAAAATATCCAAATATGATACAGATGTGTCAGACTCTGTGGTATATAAGAATGAAAAAAAGTTTTGAAATAAATGCAGAGCTTACTGCAGAAGATGGATTTTATTCATTTGACTATTCTTTGGAAATTACACTTAAACCCACTGAATAATGAATTAAGTCCTGATTATATAATAAAATAATTGTAATAAATGACTAGTAATCGAGCAGCACATAAATTTGACTACGGAGAACTCCGTATACATGATTAATACATAGGGCTCATGGCGGGTGTAAGCGGTCAATAGGGGATGCACACATCTCCTATCTACCTCATCCCAACTCTGTAATTTCCAGGGGTCAATGTTTTTGCCCTGTTCACTATTCGTTTTGTTTGTACTTTATGTATGTTTTGCCCTGTTCACTATTCGTTTTGTTTGTACTTTATGTATGTTTTGCCCTGTTCATTATTCGTTTTGTTTGTACTTTATGTATGTTTTGCCCTGTTCACTATTCGTTTTGTTTGTACTTTATGTATGTTTTGCCCTGTTCATTATTCGTTTTGTTTGTACTTTATGTATGTTTTTGCCCTGTTCACTATTCGTTTTGTTTGTACTTTATGTATGTTTTGCCTTGTTCATTATTCGTTTTGTTTGTACTTTATGTATGTTTTACCCTGTTCATTATTCGTTTTGTTTGTACTTTATGTATGTTTTGCCCTGTTCACTATTCGTTTTGTTTGTACTTTATGTATGTTTTGCCCTGTTCATTATTCGTTTTGTTTGTACTTTATGTATGTTTTGCCCTGTTCATTATTCGCGTTTTGTTTGTACTTTATGTATGTTTTGCCCTGTTCATTATTCGTTTTGTTTGTACTTTATGTATGTTTTGCCCTGTTCATTATTCGTTTTGTTTGTACTTTATGTATGTTTTGCCTTGTTCACTATTCGTTTTGTTTGTACTTTATGTATGTTTTTACCCTGTTCACTATTCGTTTTGTTTGTACTTTATGTATGTTTTGCCCTGTTCACTATTCGTTTTGTTTGTACTGTATGTATGTTTTTGCCCTGTTCACTATTCGTTTTGTTTGTACTTTATGTATGTTTTGCCCTGTTCACTATTCGTTTTGTTTGTACTTTATGTATGTTTTTGCCCTGTTCACTATTCGTTTTGTTTGTACTTTATGTATGTTTTGCCCTGTTCACTATTCGTTTTGTTTGTACTGTATGTATGTTTTTGCCCTGTTCACTATTCGTTTTGTTTGTACTTTATGTATGTTTTGCCCTGTTCACTATTCGTTTTGTTTGTACTTTATGTATGTTTTGCCCTGTTCATTATTCGTTTTGTTTGTACTTCATGTATGTTTTGCCCTGTTCACTATTCGTTTTGTTTGTACTTTATGTATGTTTTTGCCCTGTTCACTATTCGTTTTGTTTGTACTTCATGTATGTTTTGCCCTGTTCACTATTCGTTTTGTTTGTACTTTATGTATGTTTTTGCCCTGTTCACTATTCCTTTTGTTTGTACTTTATGTATGTTTTGCCCTGTTCACTATTCGTTTTGTTTGTACTTTATGTATGTTTTGCCCTGTTCACTATTCGTTTTGTTTGTACTTCATGTATGACATTGACCATCGTTCATTATCCTCACATTTTACATACCCTGCTTCTAACATAGTAGGATCTATATCTGTAATGCATTTTCTTTATGTTGGAGCAAATTTGTAAAGCCCAACATACTAATATATTATCATAACCCTAACCCCTGACATTTACAATCCATAACCTTAGATTTGTTTGTCAACCTTATTTATATACAGATTCATGCCAAAATGAATCAATATCGACATTGCTTGTCGCCGTGTATAATTATGTTATACCTCAACTGGAAAATAAAATGTACAAATCAGGATCGATATTGATGCAATATCGTGATAATATTGTCTATATCGACAATATCGACAGATCACTGAGACATATATGGTATCCAGTATTTTTAATGTTATAGCACTGATCAGGGTCGATATCAATATGACATCGACATAATAGTATAGATATCGTCGATATGAACATTGAATTCGTTCTTGGACTTGTATGATCATTCATCCGCTACTCTTTTATTTTTCATCTTTATTTTCGGTCTGAATTAATCAACTACATATAAAGGGTTGTTCGAAAAGCGCTGACTTCTGTCATAACTTCTTTACTAATCGTCATATTATATTAAAAATTGTAGATGTGTTTAAACAGTAAATTCGAATTGTTCAAATTTAAAATTTCTAAGATATTATGATATATTTCAAAATCTAAAAAATGAAATGGGAACACGGAGCAGGTCAAAATTTAATAGTTTACAAATAATGCATTTGATTATGATTATAGTCACCCCCTTATGAAATGGCACAATATATATATATATATATATATATATATATATATATATATATATATATATATATATATATATATAGAGAGAGAGAGAGAGAGAGAGAGAGAGAGAGAGAGAGAGAGAGAGAGAGAGAGATATCTTTATTAGAAGAATTTTACATTATTGTATATGTCAAATTGTGACTTAATAATTTACTTCGTTGAGAAGGAAACGACCTCAGAGGATAATATTATGTAGTCCATATTTAAAATGCAAAAACGATGACGTCGTAGAACATCACAGAGCAACAATGCTCAAGCAATACAGTTTTGTGTTACACTTGGGAAAACTCCGGAATAAACTTTGAAAATGCTGGAGGAAACAGTAATAGGTCAAAATAAGCTGTGCAGATGTGCATAAATGACACAGGTGTTTTTATTGTGTTGAATACTCTGATTCAGGTTATATACGGTCTGTGAGGAAATGGATTATTAGTAAAAATCTTATCAAAAGAGTTTAAAACGTTACGGAAAGAAATTTGATCACTGTTGCGGATCTTGTGAAAGTAGATCCCATAAAAAAGGAATCGATAAAAATACTGACAAACGAAATAATACATGTGTAGCACGACAACTAAATGCAATTTATACGGAAAGTTTCTGAAAAGTGGGTATGGGCCAGATTAGTACTGCCTGTGCCTGTGACTTTTCAACTTTATACACAACCATTCCCCACGATAAATTAAAGTCCAGGCTTTTTGATATCATTGACAGCTGCTTTTTCAATAAAAATGGAACTCGTAAATATACTTACCTTCTCATTGGTCATTTGCAAAACTATTTTGTGAAAAACATTCTGATTGTACACACAAGTACTCTGAAGTTGACATTAAAAAGATGCTTGAGTTTCTGATTGACAATATTTACGTGGTTTTTGGAGACCAGGTCTTCCAACAATCTATTGGAATTCCTATGGTTACCAATTGCGCCCCGTTATTAGCAGACCTTTTTTTGTATTCATATGAAGCAGAATTTGTCCAAAATCTTGTACGTGAAAAGAAGAAAACACTTTCTGTGGCTTTCAACTCGACATTTAGATATATCGACGACGTATTGTCAATTAACAATGGCTATTTTCATTCTTATGTCGATACGATATATCCTGGTGAACTTGAGATAAAACATACCACAGAGTCTGAAACATCTGTTTCATATTTGGATAATTTACTTGAAAAAGACGTTAATGGTAATCTAACAACCAAGCTTTATGATAAACGTGATGACTTTAACTTTTCAATCGTCAACTTCCCTTACTTATGCATCAATATACCTTCATCACCTGCATACGGAGTATATATCTCTCAGTTGATTCGATACGCAAGAGCATGCTCTACGTATGTACAATTTCTAAAACGAGGTAAATAATTGACAAATAAGTTGATGAATTAAGAATATCAGCTGTCTCGTTTAAAGTCATCATTTCGTAAGTTCTATGGTCGATACAATGACCTTGTCAGCAAATACAATTTTTCATTGAGTCAAATGCTGACTGACGTTTTTCATACTAATTGCTAGGCCATTATTTACACACTGAATTGTCGACGGATTTTTCCGTTATTTTCCGATCATGACAAGGAGCACACGGCGGGTGTGATCGGTCGGCAGGGGATGCTCACTCCTCCATGGCACCTGATCCCACCTCTGATGCTTGGAGGTCCGTGTTTGCTCTGCTCCTATTTTGTATTGTATAATGGACTTTTGAGCTTGAATACTGTTTGTTATCTTCATATATTTCATGCATATGGAAAGATTTTTTGAGAAACTCATTACATTATGTTTTGGACCTTACGATGCTTATAAGTTTGTTCGGT